GGATGTGGTCACTATGGTTTGCCTTTGAGGTGAGCACTGAGTGTTTATTTTTTGCAGATCTCCACAGAGCTCGGGAAAAACAAACAGCCTCTTTCACCGTACTTTGTAAAGATGCAACAGGAGAGAGCATGGGCAGGGGAGGAGACAATGTCCATGTTGCAGTTCTCCCTAAAGATAAGAAAGACAGGTTTGTGTTGTGCAGTTAGGTGTCGTGGGTAATAAGCAGTGAGGAAACTGGAAACATGAGGTCCTTTGAGTTATTGGAGATGTAAGTGTAGTAGTCCATGTTATCTTTATGAAAAAAACATGTTATAATCAGTTATAATCTGTTTTCTTTTGTGGATTGTTTTCCTATATCCAATACTCTCTCAAAGATTTAGTCTGCCCCTTAGATTACCTTCTTCCCAGCTTTGGAATAGACTGAACTTTTTCCAGATTGGACTGAATTTTACCCTTTCTAAAATTTAACCTACCTTTGCTACTAAGTTATGCCATAAGCATATTTATATCTTTCTGGAATTGAAGAATAGAGAAAGGACTGAAAGTTAACCTCTGAGACAAGTGGAAGAAGCATCCCCTTTGGGGGACATTTAAAATTGTTATCGAGTGAAATGATATAAGAGTTCACATCCTAAAATGGTAGGCAGCTGAAGCAGGTTTGTGAGAGGGAGTAGGATTTTTTAATTCTTGTCTCCATTTAGTCCAGTCAGGACAATGGTCCAAGATAACAAGGATGGAACATACTGCGTTTCCTATACCCCCAAGGAACCTGGACTCTACACCGTGTGGGTCTGCATCAAAAAGCAGCATGTGCAGGTAAGTAAGACCCCCCCCCCCCCAGCAAATGCTGGCCCTGGCTCCTTTTACCCTGCTCCCCTGGTTCTGTTATTTTGGGATCTGGTGACATATCATAAGATCAACTGCATAAAGATTGAGTAAGATTCTCTTCTTATTTCCCCCCATCTCCTCACTGTAGAAAAAGCCTAGATTTTGCCACTCATATTCTTACTAGAGGATTCTAGTGATCATAAGAACTCTTTATCCCTATTTCCCCTCCTGGCAGTTCTGCTTATATCTTATCATTCTCTTAGTCAGTTTGTTGGAATTCTTAATTTGGGGAAGATGCCCCAAACATGGGCAATCTATCAGCAGACAGAATGTAGTCTAGCTCAGTATTTTCCAGAGTTGTGCAAACTGACCAGACGCAGACTGACTGGGACATAATTGGTAGGGTTATACCCCCTCCTCTCAACTGACCATCATCCATCTGCCTAACCATCTGCCCATGTAATTCTCTACTCTGTTTTACATATATGCTTATCTGTTACCGTGGTTACTATGCCACCTCCACAAATAACTATGATACTTTCTTGTTTGTGAAGTGTTTTAAAACTGGGTAATCCATGTCCCGCAGATCTTCTCTTGTTTACATCTGCTAACACTGGAGTAGTCAGAAATTCCCATCAACCAGAAAACAACATTGCTGGGAATACTAGAATACTGTGCAGTATCACGATCTCTTAGGCTAGTAGTTTGTATACTAGGCAGACTCATTCAACAGCCATTTATTGCTTACCTACTCACAGTATGTCACAAAAGTTTCAGTGTTTTTATGCATTACTTCTGTTTTCTTCAAAATCACTCAAGTACGGAGATCATTGTCCAATTAGAGTAAGACCAAACTTGCCACACTATGCAGTAGCTCTGTAGCAAAATCAGATTTTGAACCTATTTCTTCAATGCCTGGTTTGTGTTTTCTAAATGAATTGTGTGTTAGCTTTCTGTAACAAAATACCTGAGATAATCAACTTAAAAGAAGGAAAGATATTTTGGCTCACAGTTTGAGAGGTTTCAGTCCATGGCCCTCCTTTAAAATGAGGGGGGGGGGGATATAATATTGGAAAAGCTTCTAAGATTCTAGGCATTTTACTTGGTGCTTTCTCAGACTATGTGGTTCTCACATATGAATAGACAAAGTGCAACACTCATTAAACATTTTTGTTTTTGTTTAACGTAGATAGAAATTAGAAAATGAAAGTTATCCTTAAAGAGAGTGGGAGAGTTACTGGAGAATTATTAACTGCAGAGGTTTAACCTTTCTCCCTTCCATGCATTCACAGTCCCATGATAGGTGGATGGGCAAACAGATGTGTTGTGTCCAGGATGGAGGAACAGGAGGAAAGAGGGTAGCCCACTATGTAAGGGGAGAAGGCATGTGGGTGAGAAACTGGAGATAGAGCCACAGGAGGTCCCAGCCTTGTGGTTGCAAAATTCTACAAATTACCCCTGAGATTACTTAAGAATTAAGACTAAGCATCCTAAAGACCAAAGGCAGTCCCATAAAAGCACAAATCAAGATGATTGATATATCAGGTGGTCTACGCACTTTCATTTCACACATGGGAGGCAGAACTCTTTGTGAAAAAGCTTAGCCTGATTAGGATATGGGCTTCTGCGTTTCTGCCATCTTACCAGAACAAGCCCTATCTAATTCAGATGTCACTGAGAACAGAACTGACTCTGTGGGATCCCACTCAGTGTCCAAGGGGGGCTGTCAAGCAGTTTCTATGGTGAGAAGTATGACCGAAGGCTGCAAGGCTCCTTGATTCCAATTTTACTGCATTTGTGTCTACCCCCCCACCCAGCTGAGCAGAGTTCTTGTCTTCTCTTCTGTTTCTCTACTACTGTCCTCGTCCCTCCAAAGGCGGGCTCCTTGGCTAGACTGTTTAGCACATAGCAATGCTCAGCACACCCTGTTGACTCATAAGGTGCTGTTCTTTGCTCTTGGCCTGAACACGGAAGGGCTCACCATTCACTGTGACTGTGAGAAGAAAGCGGCGCCCACACCTGGGTGTGTTTCACTGCTGCACCTTCTGCTCTAGTGGAGGCCAGAAGAACGCGCGCTGTGCCTGTGGAGGCACCATGCCTGGTAAGGAGGAGCACCATTCATTACCCTTGGGACTATCTTCCAGAAGTAGGGATCAAGTGACATCCCCCACCCCACCGCACTGCCACATAGCCACTAGGTCGGGATGCTGGGACTGAGGCTTTGTTTCTAGGAAGCATAATCTGTTTTGTGTGCAGACACAGTAGAAGTTCCACTTAATCTGGCTTCTATATTCTGAGCTGATATTGCAGATTGAAAGTTCTGAGTTCTGTTTGGTTTTGATACAGTTCACCAATCCTGCAATCCCATGCTTCTCTGGGATTTTCAATTTCAGTCTATACCCTTTCCAAGAGGCTGAGCAATTTGAGAAAGATAGACCCATCTTACCCCTTTTAAAACCTTAAAGAAATTCCAAATGAGGCAATGATTGGGGAGTGGATGATTAGATCAGTTAAACCAGGTCTGGCTCTTTTGTTGGTGGTAGGGAGATCGCAGGCAATAGATGGAATTATTTTTTTAAATTGCTCTATCATGTCCTTATTCTAATGGTGGGCCATAAAATGGGCTTTTGTACCCTTCCTTTATAACCACTCCAGTACCTGCCTCCCTTTTCATTTCCTTTAATCTACCCTTCTTTTTCATTTCATTTTACAATTGAAATTCAAATCCTTTCACTTTGCAGTTAAAGGCCAAACTAGTTCATCTCCTTCAGTTGGTGCATTTAAACACTGTTGGGAGAGCTTTGTTGACTTTCATGGATTTGCTGTGATGAGTCTTGAGAACCCTCCTACCATGGAGGGTCAGATAGCTTGTTCCTCTCATGGGGGTTTTCTTAGGGAATGTCCACGGTTGCCAGGAGGTTCAATTTCCGTGGTACCTGGACTCCACTCTCAGGGTTTGTTTTTCCTCTCCTCTTTGTACTATGCAGGTGGGTACCTAGGCTGTGGCCATGGGCACAAAGGCCATCCTGGTCATCCACACTGGTCTTGCTGTGGGAAGCTGACTGAGAAGTCTGAGTGCACATACATAGGTGGGCAGAGCACCTCGACGAGTCTACTCAGGACTGTGGCACTCTGATGCTTCCTGGACGAGTTTGGCCTGGTAAAGCCCCAGACAGCTGGATCTCAGATTTCCAGAGGATTCCAAAGCTCGATTAATTCTGAAGAGACTGATAAAATTAAAAACAAAGTGCCTTATCTTATTTTATAGTTCAAGTGCTTATTTGTGAGTTACTCACTGATTGTACTTGTGGATGGTTGACTGTGTTTCTCTTTAAGGTAGGTTGGTGTGTGTTCTTTCTCTTTTGTACAGGTATGGAAGAATCTATGCCCTTGGAACTTAGAAATCACGGGGTGGGGGATAATTTAGCTCCTTACTTTCTGATATATTATAACCTTTTTAATTTTTCCCTGAGCTGTGTTATTTAGATATTTCCCTTGGAATATAACTGCCCCCTCCCCCATCTTATCCACTGGGTTCTTTAGCACACTTTCAGTGGATTTACTGGTACATATTTTGTAACCATTATAATGTGACCTTGCTGTTTGGGCAGGTGTCTCCCTCCTCCCTCTCTGAACCATGTCACTCCCTGCCTCCCCAAAGCCTGAAGGATAGCTCTTTGGTGTAGGGTATACAAGTAGAACATTAATAAAAGGGTGTTGAAATACATCTCACATGTCTATTGCAGTTCTGTTGATGCCAGGTGACCTAGATGCCGTCACCCCCTTCACATCATTTTGATTTTTAGAGAATAATCTTTGATTGTGTATATATGCCTGGAAACTTAACTGAAAGTTTTGATTCTTATAAGGTGCCTTATTAGCTGCTAGAGAATTTTGGGGAGAGGAAATAGCACTGGTGCCTCAGCCCTGCCAAGGACTTTTCTGTATATATTTTGTGTGTTCTGCAGGGACTCTCGATTTCTTCTATAGCAACAAACTCAGCATATATTAAATAAAATTATTGAAATCTGCATTGTAAGTTTCCTTAAGTAGTGGGTGACTCATTTGACCGGTGAATTGGGTCAGGCAAAGCAAGCGAAGTCATTAGATGGTGGTGACTGTCAGATCTTCTGGGGTGTATTTCCTTCTTGAGGCTGACATAAACACTAACATGTTCTCTCTAGTCTCATCTTCTTCTGGAAACATTCCCATCAGCCTCCTTAACCCAAATCTGGTCTTCCCAGAAGATGCTGTTGCCCATCACCCTCTCAGATTGTTAGCAATGGTTTCTCCCTTACTCCTGATAACCGTGGGCCAAGGGTCAGGTAAGGGTCTTTTTTAGTTTGTCATTGCTGCTTTTAAGATCAGTGATTCTCAACCAGGAGTGACTCTGCGCCCCAGAAGATATCTGGCAAAGTCTCAGAGAAAGTTTGGTTGCCACTACTGGGGCAGGTACCAGCAACATCGAGTGGGTACAGGTCAGGGATGCTGCTGAGTGAGCATTTTACAGTGTTCAGGACAGCTTCCCCAGACAAGGAGTTATCCAGTCCAAAATGTCAGTAGTGCTTGAAAAACCTCTTCTAGACCATTATCCGACTTGTTTTCTAAAAATGATCGTTCGCCCTCATTTCTTGATTATAGTGTCAAGCTAAGCTCGCTGTCACCCCATTACAGTTCCTCATCAATCTCAGGGTAATTCAGTAGCCACATAGACCTTGGGGTTGTGAGGCCATTTCCACTTAGCCTACCTGAGCCTTATAATCATTCCTTGATTCCACCCGCACCCTCTGCGTAGTCTCAATTTCAGACGTTCTCCCACGACCTCCCCTCTTCTTACTTGCCCACTGTGATAACCTGACTACTTATTCTTCTTTCCTTGGAACCCACGATTCAGTGATTCTACCACTTTCTTGCTATTCCTCTCATGTCCTCATGTCCTCCCCTGCATCCTTCTCAGCTTAGACCATCATTACAATTGCTCTTGCACAGACTGTCCCTTGTTATCTTGCCTGGCAGAACTGCAACCCACATTGGATCCAGCTTTTCACTTAACCCTCTGAATGATTCTGCAGAAAACCACTAAAACATGATGACTAGTCCCACTTTAAACTTATGACCACTCATTTTAATAGGCTCTTAGCATTGTCTGGTGTGTTGACAACATCTCCTTAGTTCCTGCACTTGTCCCACTCTCCTAGATGATTGTTTCATACTTTCTTTCTCTTCAAACTCCAATTTCTACTCCATCTCTCTCCTCTCCACTTAAGACCTTGCTTCCTGTTTCACCAAGAAAATAAAAGGGTTCAGAAGAGGATTTCCTGACTCTCCCACCACACCTATGAATCTACCTGTATTCCTATCAAAAGCCAACTTCTGCACTGTGTCCTAGATCCCATGCCATCACTACTACCCAGGAACGTCACTCCAGTGGCTTTCCCCTCGATGGCATTTCTCATTTTAGGAAACATGCTAAAAGATTTCCTCATGTTAACACAGATTTCTCTTGATTTTTGTATTAGTCCACCACGGCTGTAACAGTGCCTTGGCTTAAGCAATAGTTCTGGAGTCTCCAAGTCCGAGATCAAGGCATTAGCAGGGTTGGTTTCTGGTGAGTCCTCTATCTGTGGTTTGTAGTTGGCAGCCTTCTTGCTGATCCTCACGTGGCTTTTCCCCTGTGTGCTTATGCTCCTGGTATTTCTTCCTCTTCTCATAAGGACACCGACCACCCCTCCTGGATTAAGGCCCCATTTAACCTTAATTACCTTTGTAAAAGCCCTATTTCCAAATCCTGTTCTGTTAGGGATTAGGGCTTCACCTAGCAATTTTGAAGGAACCACGATTCGGTCTATAATAACTTGCCCGTTTAGCAATCTATTTCTCAACTCCCCAGACCTCAGTAGCATTGAGATTTGTTATCTCTACCTCCCTTCCATTCTCTCTTAGATTGAATCCAGTCAGTTTTTAACCCTCAGAACGCTCCACTGAACTAGCTCTTTTCAATGTCAAGAATAATATCCATGTGACAGAATCCGAGGGAATTGTCAATCTTTCTCCTTTTTGATCTATCAGTAGCAATTATCATAGCCGGTCACTTTCCCCTCCATGAAACATTGTCTTCCCTTGTTTTATGTGGCATGACTCTTCTTGATTCTCCTATCTCATTGTCTATTCCTGCTCAGTGTCCTTTGCTAGATCCTTCTAATCTTGCTGTTCTCTACATATGGGAGAGAACCAAGGAACAGTGCTTGCATTTCTGTCTTTCCTCTGCTCCCTAGATGATCTCATCCTATCAGGATTTTAAATACCATTTATATACTGACTTCCAAATTTATCTCCTGGTCCAATCTCTGTATAGGACGGTGTCCAATAGCTTCCTTAACCTCTCCCCTTGTATGTATAATAGGCACCTCAAATTTAAGATGTCCAAAACAGATTTGCAGTTTTCAATTCTTACTTTCCCTTTGCTCACCACCACCAAATCACTTCTCCCACAATCTTCTACATCCCTTTAAAAGCACAAGTCCACTCTTAGAGGTGTAGAGCCAATAGCCTTGGAGATGTGCTTTGTGTCTCTGTCATATACCACATCCAATTCTCGGGCAAATCCTGTCAGCCCTTCCTTCAAAATATATCTACTGACTGTGCTTTTCACCTCCATTGCTACCATCCTGGGCTGAGATACCAAGATGCCTTAACCTGAATTCTTACCATTTTCTTCTAACTGGTCTGTTTCCACCCATTACTCCCTTACATTATACTCTCGACCCAATATTCAGACTGATCCTTTCAAAACATGTCAGAGCATGTCATTCTGTGCTCCACATCCTCCAGTGGTCTCCCATCTTACTTGGAACAATAGCCAGCATATGTGCTTCACGTCAGCAGTGAGATCTGGATCCTGCTCTTCTTTCATCTCCTGCCCATTCCCCTCCATCACTCTAGTCTAACCAAACTGGCATGCCTGCTGCTCCTGAAACTCCAAGCACTCTCTGCCTTGGGGCCTAAAAATCACTGCCCCTCCATGTGAAATTCTCTTCTCACAGTTACCTTTATGATTCATTCCCTTATTTCTTCAGGTTTCTGTTTTAATGTCAACTATCATCCTATTAGTGAGGTCCCTCACTACCCCATGTAAAATAGCAACATCATACCCCAGGATTCCATATTACCCTGAAGAGGCTCCATCACTTCTGACATATATATTCTGCTTATGCTCTGTCCTTTCATACCAGACTGTAAACTCAGTGGGAGCAGGGACTTGGTAACTACTCTATTGTCCCCTTGTAGGACAGTTCTTGGCACATAGTAGAGACTAAATGTTCTGTTGAATGAATTTAGATTTATTTGGTAGACTTTTTAGTTTGGATCTACTTAGTCTGTTTTCATAAGACATCCCTTCTTTCAAACTCCAACATTTCTTATTTAACCAAATACCACTTGGGGAAAAAAGTCTCAGACTTCTCTCAAACTTGGTGGATGAATTATATGCACCCAAGGGACCAGCCTTGAATTTTCCAGTTACCTCAGACAGCTAGGGAATAGCTTGCCATAAAGAAGCCTGTTGCATTACATCATCTTTCCCCATGTGTCTTCTTATGAATCAGATTGCAGAATCGTGGATAAAAATCATTTAATTCAGGTAGAAACTTCTATACATGAAGTTATGTTGCAAATCAAAATTTCTATAAGATGCCTGGTTTGGGGTTAATGACGTGGGCTTTAAGCACTACTAATGGTAACAATTCTTCTAGAATTATTTAAAGTTTGTGTGGGTGGCAGTTGGGGAGGCTGTTCTTGGCCTGCACAATAAGGAGCCTTAACCCAATTTAATTCAACTACCCTGCCAGCCAAAAGACCTGGAAAAGTAGGAGTGACCTACAGAGCTCAAGACTTCAAGGAGAGGAAAAAGGAATTAAAGGATTTAGAATTTGTCTCCATGTAATGAAGTGCTTCAGAAATCGTCTGTGAGTTGTGAGCATTGGAGCATCAACAAGAAGCCGCATTATGATGTAGGTTATGCTGCTGGTGTTAAGGTTAAAAAAAAATGCATCACAAATTAGAGCCTCAGTCCTCTGGGATGTTGCACCAGGATAAACACCTTGGCCGTCTTGGAGAATAAACACATTTACCTGTTGGCCCACCCATTCTCTGATCTCAATAATCACCCGTCACCCATTCCCATTCCCTCTTGCTCAATTTTACCCCAGAGGATGGATACCTGTGTATCGGGCTTAGCTCAATTAAGAGGTTGTTTGATCAAGTGAATGCTAATTAGAAGGATTATACAGGAAGAGGCATTTCACTCTGCCCTGTTAGCCCCTACATACAGGTGTAGGAATTCCATCATTACTTTCAGAAAGATCTCCCATGACTAGGTTAAATCCCTGTGATAAACCTTCATACACACACACACACACACACACACACACACTCACGCCTCTCCATCCACACGAGCATCACCATGCTGCTACACAGCCATTTGTAATTAATTTGATTAATGCCTGTTTCTCCCCTACTACACTCAGGAAGGCAGGATTGTTTGGTTCTTGGTTGGTTCTGTTTATCTTTGTATTTGCAGTGCCTAGCAGTGTCTGGCACAGCAGATATATGTGTGTGTGTGTGTGTGTGTGTGTGTACACATATACATATACACATAAACACACACACATTCACTCACACCTGATCAATAGAAGTATTCTCCTCATCATTCTTTTCATCCATAATCTCCACCTGCGCTCAGACTGAGCTGGAAGGTAGTAAGCACATTGTGGATCTACACGAGTCGCCCCGTCCACTCTCTAGAGTAGGCTCCTTTTTCATTTCCGTCTCCCTCCCTCAGCTTCTGATCCTTGCAGTATGTGGTGCCATAACTGACTCTAATTTCATTCTAATTTTCCTCAAGGTTATACGCCCAGGAATTCTGAATTTCTGCACTAATTCTTCCTGCCTGCAGGTATGCTTTTCAGCTCCTCCTGGACTTTCTAGGGCTAAATGCTGTATGACAAATAGCAGAAGGACATCCTACTTTGTAAACCCAATTGTCTCAAGGTATTAGGGTAGACACCAAAGTTTCAGGAATCAGAGAGACTACCAGTACTGGTGGCCCCATGAGTATTCCATTAATGAAGGAGAATCTAACTTCACCTTGGATCCCTATTAGGAGCCACTTCATTGAACAAGGGATAATCAGAGGAAACCAACCAGTGTTCATAAATAATCCTACTAAACCACCACATGATTGCCAGAGAAAGGGGTCGTGTCCCATAAGAGTACAATTCTACCTACGGCTATTCGTAATGATTGTGTGGCAACCAGCATTCTGGATGGGGTTTTTGGAGGGTCCAGGATTCCACCAGGCCACGGTATGCACCATGCTCTTGTCTAATCAACAGAGCTAAAGAAAAGTCAAACTGTAGACCTTCCATAATGGGAATTCTGCCACATAAGAAATACCTTATTATAAATGTCGTGCTCAGGAGCACTGTGCATTTTGGTGACAGACATTCACTACCACCTGCACCTAGGCTCTTCATTACCATATTCCCAGACCTTGTCCCACAGCAATATCACTAGCCTTTGCATGGCACTTCATGGTTTGTAAAGCATTTATTATCTCAGATTGGCCATGCCCAAGTCTCCTGAGGTAGGCAGGCAGACATAAAAAGAAAACCCAGAAGTGGTTGTGTCACATAAAGGAAAGCCGGTTGACATCAGCAGGACTCACAGTGGCAATCCTCACTACACTGTGAGATGTGGTCCATTTGGAGAGTGCAAAGACCCATCTTGTCACACCTAGACCTTACGAAATTAACTCATACGGAAGAAAATGAGCATGAGCCTAAGATAGATTCTGGAATGCCACTTATGTCAGTTCATAATGAGACATTTCCATCCAAGGATTAGGATTTAAAAATGAGTGTTCGGTATACTCTATCCCATTAGGGTGTCCACATCAATAGCTTCTTACTGTTGTAGGAACACCTTTCTGAGGCATATTTTCATGGTTCTGCTAGCTTATGCTCAAGACAGGGAAATATTTAAAAAGTGTGTAAGATGCCAGGAAGAATCTTATAGTAGATTACATTTGGCAATAGGCTTTGAATACTTGAAGGTCTCTGCATCTCTCTCTAAACTAAAAGCCAGAATCCTGGAAACTAAACGTTAAGTCTTCCTTCTCTCCATAGTGCTTAGACTGGGACACTAACAATGTTTATTTAATATTCTTCTGATTGACATTATTGATCTATTTATCTGATAAACAAGTTATGGTCTGTCTATTTGTTATTCAATTCCCGGTAGAGCACAAGATCTATGCTAATCCACACAACTTAAAAATGAAACTCTGAGATGACCAAGGGATCGCTAATTAGCCCAATATCAGACAATCAGCTAATGGCAGAGCCAGGGGTTTTTCCCCCCATAGTATAGTATTGATGCATTATAGTTGTAAGGGGATTTCTTATTACGTATATACACATGCACAAAATATAGCAATATAATTTGGCCGATGTCATTCCCTCGTAGTTCCCTTTTCTTTTCCTCTTCTCTTCCGCTGGTCCCTTTCCTCTATTCTACTGATTTCCCTTCAAATTTCATGTGATCCTTCTCACCTGTTTTTCCTTTTTTTCTCTCCAGTTTCCACATTTAAAAGAAAACATACAACCCCTGAACTTCTGAATTTGGATTATTTCACTTAACATAATGTTCTCTAATTTCCTGCAAATAACATAATTTCATTCTTCTTTATGGCTGAATGAAACTCAATTTTGCATATATACCACATTTTCTTTATCCATTCATCTGTTGATGGACACTTAGGCTGGTTCCATAGTTTAGCAGAGCCTGAGTTTGTACATTATTGCTGACCTGAGAGCCATTAAATCTCAGGTGACTCTATCTTTTCTTTGTTGTATTGATCTTATAATTTCAAGAGGGTAATTTTACTGCTTTCTTGATTTTATTAGGGACCTCACTGTAGTTGCAATTAAAAAAAAAAGATAAAGAGTTTTAACTTTTACTTAACCTGAATAGGAACTTCTAGACATTTATTTTTAAGAAGTAAATGTTGAATGATAACATTTTAGGATCTTTCCTAAAGATTTATCCTTTTATGAATTGCACATTAACTTAATTCTTTAAGTAAAACTAATGTCTATCCTTATTTTTCTCCTCCAGTACTATCATCCACATTATAATGGACTGTGATATAATAACATGAGCAAATTTTCAGATAGCTTTTCGAAGGCCAAGTTTACTTACTCCTTTCTGATTTCATCACCTCCATCAGACTGGGGGACAGAAAGCACTGAAGGCCAATTTACTGAAGAAAATTGAACACTTTGTTTGCTATTACCCAAGGACTTGGGGAAAAAGTATTTGTTGATTTTCAGTGTCCAGATGAACTGAGTCACATAGATTTTTCTCAGTCAGTAGCCAAACAGTTATTCAGATGACAACTTCCAATGTATGGAGTGCTCCAACCAGGGAGACTATTGTTCATTGCTTGTTGAGCTTAGGAAGAATGTAGACATCCATTGTAAACCTTATGTTTCCAAAATCCCAAATGTAGGAAAAAATATGCAGACATACAGATATATAGGCTAATTCTTAGTAACAATATGAATATATTTAAAGTTTTTAAAACTTTGTATTTTTTGTAAAAATATTTTTCTTTTACAATTATTTTCCTTTTTTAAAATCATTTTACCAATATAATATATGGAGCCAAAGAAAACAATAATAGTATTAATAAAACCCCCTAAGATTCCTTGTCAGATTTAATTCTACCCAATGGCAAATAGTTGTTTCAGTTGTGGTTTGAAAAAATAATTAAACATATGTGTGTATTTAATTTTATTTTCTTAGAAAAATAAATCATTTGAAGTGTCTATAAATATCCTGCAAATACGCTGACTGATATAAATCAACGCTAAACACATACATGGCTCAGTCAAGGAGGCTGTGCCTTGAGCCCATCACCTGTCACTACCTTTGATGTGTGCCTGGCTCAGCCTAGAGAAAGTGGATAAACCCGGATGTGCTTAGTCTTCAAACTGGTGGAGCAGGGGTGGTGGAGAGGGGCAGAGAACCCCATCTGGCAGCCTAGATAGCCCTGTTTTAAGACTGAAGTGTGAATAGACTTGGTATCGAGCCCACACCAGAGCTGATATTTTTGGGAGAGTATGGTGTCCCATTAGCAAAAGGCAAGGATGCTGGAAAAGATGGAACCAGCTATGTGCTACCTGGAATGTTTGTTTTTCTGAAGTCGAGTTCCGAAAACACAACTCCAAGGCACAAACACGATGAAATGCAAAACTAAACTTCTAGCTACTGTATTGAACTTTTGCAAAGAACCTTTCCTCCAAGCACATCTTCCTTCCCCTCCTTGACTTGTGCCTTTGAAAAACCTAATACAAAAAGTGCTGAAATGAGTCACTGAATATAGCTGGTGCTCAGAGGAAAGATTCCATCCAACAGATTCCTTCTCCCCCATCCTGAGTCCTCCCAGAAGTGTTCCACTTAACCCAAATAAAATGGTAAAAGAATAAAGACAGAGTTTGACTTTACCACCTGTAGCCTAGTGAACTCTGTGCTTTGCCTGTGATCACTATTCATGCCATTTTCACAGCCAGGAAAGACCGTCCCCTCTGCATTTCTTCATGCTGAAGTTTTGCCCAAGTGTCCTGGTCAGGCTGACCGGACCTGTTGTCTCAGGAGCTTAAATTGTAGGCACCCGTGACATGAGACTAAACTCAGGCCTCTTTTTTGTGTGTTCTTCCTGATTTTCAAGTGTCGATTAAGGTCTGTTTTCAGAAGAAGGTTGAGTGCACTGTTCAGTGGTAGAGCACTTGCCAAGAATCATGTGTGAGGTGCTGTGGGCTTGATCTCTAGCACCAGCAAGAGAGAGAGAGAGAGAGAGAGAGAGAGAGAGAGAGAGAGAGAGAGAGAGAGAGAAGTTGAATTCAAAATATCAACTAACTCTCTGATATCATTTCCAAAACAATCTCACAGCTGCAATCGGTCTTCTCCCAGCCTGAGTGACTTGCTGAATGGTTAGTATTTATCAGGCACTGTACCACATGCCTCATCAGACCTATGAGTATAACACTCTGATTTCCCAGGCACTGGGACTCAGGGTGGTGACATGGTTTCCTGGGTCACACTATCACTAAGGAGTGAAGACAAGATTCAGACCCAAGCTTTGAGAATGTTCTTTCTTTAGGAACCAGGATCCTTCTTTATAACACACTGAATAAAATCAAATGAATACCACACATCATGAGGTCCCTTGTGCATACACCAGGTTTCTATGCATTTGTTGATAACTATGCTCTTTTGGAAAAGAGAATTTTAGTGAAATATGATGTGGTTTTCAGGCATCTGACTTGCCATGCATTATAAGATGAAAAAAGAATTTCTCTCTAAATGGATCTTGAAAGAATGCAAACATAATATGGCCCCCCCAAAATAAAATAAAATAAACAACAACAACAACATCTTTCCTTCTCGTCCTTGGTTATCAACATTCATCAGCTCTTCTCCTCCTGCTCCTAGCCCTCCAGTGTGTGGTAGTCAGGGCTTAAGCTGAAGCAGACAACAAATAGTAATAGCTGCTCCCATTAGAAACAAGGGCTGTTGAGGGAAGGTGGACAGCCGTGGGAATCAGGGGACACTGAGCTCATGTATTTTGCCTCGGATGATTGATCTTGAAAACATAAGCTTGTGAATTCATTTATAACTCAACGTCATATAACAATAATAACTCTAAGTATATACACCATTTGTACAGACATTAGTGCTTCTAAGCTTCCTGAAAACCTAGTGTCCCTGCTTTGGAAATGAGAAAATGAGGGCTCAGGTTGAGGACTTGCCCATTGCCCACATTTCTATCATAGTCACTTTCAAAAAAGTAAATCTGATCTTAGGTTCTCCTTTATCCTTTTTGAAGATTTTTTTTTAAATAATTAATTTTTACTGGTTATTTTTAGTTATACATGACAGTAGAATTTATTCTGATAGAATCACACAAGCATGGAATATATCTTATTCTAACTAGGACCTCATTCTTATGGATATACATGATGGTGGGATGCACTATGGTGTATTCATAGACATACAAAGGGAAATATTTTTTATTTATTCCACTGCCTTTCCTTATCTTTCCTCCCTTCCCTTTGTTCCCCTTTATCTAATCTACTAAATATCTATTCTTCCCCTCTCCCCCTTATCGTAGACTCGTTTCCACATATCAGTGAAAACATTTGATCTTTGGTTTTGGGGGACTGGCTTAATTCACTTAGCATGATAGTCTCCAGGTCCATCCATTTACTGGTAAATGCCATAATTTCACTCTTCTTTATGGCTGAGTAATAGTCTATTGTGTATATAGACGACATTTTCTTTATCCATTTATCTGTTGAAGGGCACCTTAGCTATTGTGAATTCAGCTGCTAAAAACATTGATGTGGCTGAGTCACTGTAGTATGCTGATTTTAAGTACTTTGGGTGTAGACTGAGGAGTGGAACAGCTGGGTCAAATGGTGATTCCACTCCTAGTTTTTGAGAAATCTCCGTACTGCTTTCCAGAGTGGTTGCACCAATTTTCAGTGCCACTAGCAATGTATGAGTCTATCTTTTCCCTACATCCTCGCCAATATTTATTTTTACTTATATTCTTGATAATTGCCATTCTGACTGGAATGAGATGAAATCTTAGCATAGTTTATTCTTGAGAAGAGATCTTTTTGTTGCTAGGCTGATCTTGAACCTCTGGCTTCAAGTGATCCTCCTGCCTTAACCTCCCAAGTAGCTGGCTCTGCAGGTGTGCACAATTGTGCCAGGCTTAATTCTGCATTCTTATGTCTCCGGATAGAAGTCCACCCGACTTCTTGCCCCCCCACTTAAAATCTTTGGAAAGATCGCAATTGCCTGTAAACACACATAAGGGGCAATGGGACCATCGCTCCCTGGTTCCCAAGTCCATCTGCACTTTCCTTCCATCCACAATCCACCCTCTCTTGCCCACCTACTGAATTATCAAACTACACTACCTGTGTTGTCTACCATACTCTGTATTACCTCCCATGATCCACCTGCACTCTCTTTCCCTATCTCTTTTTACCTGAAAAGTGAAAAAGACTCAGTTCAAGGATCACTTCCATGTCAAAGGCTTACACCAACTGCGCTGGGTAACACAGAAGTCAACTCCTTCACTGGATTAAATGGTCTACAGACTAGTTGAAAGACTTAAAAATTAACTGAATTAAGAAAAACATTAGCTGGGCATGGTGGTGCATGCCGGAGATGGGAGGATTGTGAGTTCAAAGGCAGCCTCAGCAACAGCAAGGTGCTAAGAAACTCTAAATGAGATACAAATAAAGCTGAGGATGTGGTTCAGTGGTTGAGTGCCCTGCCCCTGAGTTTCAAACCTCGGTAACAACAAAAACAAAAAAAAAGGAGGAGGAGGAGGAGGAGGAGGGGGAGGGGGAAGGGGAGGGGGAGGGAGAGGGGAGGAGGAGGAGGAGGAGGAGGAGGGAAAGAAAGAAAGAAAGAAA